GCTGAGTATGTGTTCCATATGTGTTTGATCCAATGACCGGGGTAGTAATGTGAAGCGCTTAGAGGCATTGTGCATGAAGCGCTATATAAGAGCGACATATTATTATTATTATTTTGCCAATCCTTCCAACATGGTACATAAAATAGTGTGAAATGCTGTTTCAAATTTGTTTAGCAGAGGTTGCAAGACAACAGAAACATATATTACAGCTTTGACTTTTGTAAAAGTTAAACAAATGTATATGTTCCCAAACCAAAGACTAATTACAAAAAAAAAAAGAAGTATCTCATATCGTGGTGCTATCGAATGGAATAAATTAAGCCCTGATGTTCAGTCTTCTACCAATTTAACTATTTTCAGAAACCACATTTGTACTTATAATTAATGAAACCAAAGTTTAATAGTATGAACATTGTATAAATCCCTATTTGATATAATGATAATGATAATAATTTCATAATGAAAAACAGCATTGTATTTGTTGATTTGTGCTTCGTGAATAAATAAAGTTTTTTATTTTTATACTGTAAAACCTCAAATTGAAGCCCAGTGGGCTTACTCTTGAGGTGAAGCCCATTTCAAATTGAAGCCCCCCCCCCCCTATTTATTTTGCAAAATTAGCCTTGAAAACAAGCCCATGGGCTTCTTTTCGATATAGTACAGTATATATGGATATTAAAAAAAAACGAAATAAATTGAAAACAAGATTGGTTTATACATAGTTTATGTGATTTAATGTCAGTTAAATACACTTCATGATACAGATGGATGCCACAATGTCTGTATTTATTGTTTTATAGTACAAATTCACAAAATTAACAGCACTCATTTTCAAAAGAAGCCCCCCCACTCTTTACTTTGCAAAAAGTAGGGTCGAAAAGAAGGCCATCTAAAGTTCGCAAAAACAAAAGGAACAGCTCAGGGCTTTAATTTGAGGTTTTACAGTACATTTTTAGCTTTATTTGGTTAATTCTCAGGTAGGTTCATATTGTCAATGCTTTTTATCTTTTTAGTAATGATTCAATGCCACTTGTGTTTTTTTAATATTTTTTTTGTATTATGTTGGTTTGAATGTACTGAGTAAATATGTAAGTAACACTTAAGTGTTTACTGTAGTTATGAGGAATTGAGGACAGGAGTACTAGACTGTAAGATGGTGAGAATTAGTGCTGTTAACTTGCCAATTAATGTAATAGATTAAAATCAAACTAAAGATTCTAATATTGCAAATACAATAGCCTCTAAAAAATATTACCATTACCATTACTGTGTGAAGTCTTCTTGCTTTACTTGTAGTTTATGTTCCCAGCAGCATGGCTGACGGTGTTCAATGTTGTCACAGTCCTGTTTATGATCCCCTTGATGGAGCGCATCGTCTACCCTTACCTTGATCGTCGAGGGTGGCACATCTCCCTCCTTAAGCGCATCAACATTGGAATGGTTTTCGTCATGTTAGCAGTTATTTGTGCCGGAGTCTTAGAAAAATATCGTCTGCAAAGGTTACGTGTTAGAGGGCCATGGCTGCAGACGATTGGCACAACGCAGTACTATGCTGCTGATATGTGGATTTTTTGGCAGATACCCCAGTATACATTAATTGGTATTAGTGAAGTCTTTGCAAGTGTGGCAGGTAAGTGTTATACAGTCTTACTGTTACAAATTTTTACCTCGATTAATTGCCTTTTAGGGTTACTGCAGAAACAAATTATTTAAATTCAGTTGCTACATTGCATTTTGAAACACTTTAACAAACAAAAAAACATGAAAAATAATGATTATATTTCCAAAAGTTGCACTATGGCTAAAAGAGCACCCACGGAGCACCTCCTTCCCCCAGCACACCCAATTTATCAATCGATCATGCATGACCTCAGGTAGTTTTGTTATTCTACCTTTTATAATAAGCTTAGTAGTAAAAAATTCGTGAATTTTTTGTATTTTTGAAAGATATTTGTTTATTTTTCTCTGTTTTTCTTTGTTTTGCAGGTCTTGAGTTTGCCTACTCGCAGGCTCCTAAGTCCATGCACAGCCTCATAATGGGCCTCTTCTACTTTTCAGGAGGTTTAGGAAACATTTTTGGAGAACTTCTTTACTCTTTTACAAATGAAGTGTTTAATTGGAAATCCACAAAAGACACAGCCAATATTAACTATGCAAAATTATCATATTATTTTTTCCTTCTGGCTGGAATTCAGTTCCTCACTATAGTGATTTTTAGTCTTGTGTCTCGAGCGTATGAAGCAAAAGAAAAGAAAGAGAAGCAAGGACCTATTGCCATCCAACGGAGTGTCACACCACCAATGGATTAGGCTTTCTGCCAACATCTGGCATACATCATATTTACCAGAGGAGTGGTTGCTTTACTGTGATGGCAGTAAATACAGAAGAGGCATCAGGCTCTACAGGTTTAAATGCAAATAGAATTTCTATCTTCCAAATGGCATCAATCTTGTGAAAGCACTGTATATGGGGGAAAAGGGGAGGGGTAAAGATAGATATAGGAGAATAATACATAACTCGCAGCGTAATTGTGTTGAATTGTGTATAACAGTGGTCCATGACTACTAGGCCGCTGTAGACGCTTATAGTAACTTTGTGTTTACATTCCACAACAACAGGGGCTGAAATGAATCGTAGCGTCGGTGTAACCCCTACTTGTCCGAAAAATGGAATGAGTTCTTTAAAGTGCACACCAGATGTGTTGGACCTCCATTTTAAGGCTTGGTTTTACCATCTAAACCCTGAGCAAGAAGTGGCTCGAACCTGCACCGATGCGCCTTACAATAATACACCATGAGACGATTTAGAATTTATCTCTCTTCATACTTATATATACAGTATATATATATAATTTTGTGTTTAGTAATAATTAATATTTAAAAATGTATCATTGGAATTTTCTGTTTATCTAGATCACTTTCTTGTAAATAATGTATTTTTTAAATTTAGAAAAGGATGCTATTTCAACTAAAATGCATTGCGATATTCTGCAAAATTTAGTGAAGGCAATATTTTTTTGTATGTTTTCTGTTTTTTAATAGGTAAAATAGTATCTTTGACCTAGCATGTAAAAGATTAAAATAACACAGTGTATTATTTTTTTCTATTATAATACAATTTTTCTATTAATTTTTCTCATTCAAAGTGAATAATCTAGCAGTTTCTGACTCTATACAATATTTAGAGTGTGAAGGAAACACCCTAATTAAGCTATTTTTAAAATATAGCATCTATCTTGAATAATAATAATAAAAAAAAGAACAAAACAAAATAATTTACTATTCAAATTGTTTACATAATTTGTATATATACAAATATTATATATATTATTATATTATATATTCTTTAAAATCCACTTAGGCTGCAAGGGGAAAAAGTGCATCCTGTGGGACCACATGAGGCCTTCCAGCCAATTATTATTCCCACATTTTTAGGCGCATGGGTCAATGGTTTGCAATAGCTATATTAATTACTGTCTTATATATTACTTATTACCCTCAATTATAAAATATAAGTGGAACATATTATCTTCATTGATTAACAGACGCATTTGTATATTTAATTTTCTGCTAGTAATTTTAAAAACTTATTGGTTTGATTTTAAATGAGAAATTTGAAGTTAAATGGTTCATACTTTCTCTCAGATTTACCACTGTACTATTCCTTAAGAAAATATTGAATTGATATTCTTACATGAATAATTTAATGGGTTCGTATTGTAATTTTGAACTGAATTACTATAAAAAAAATTTTTAGCAGGTTCTGTTGGAAATTGGCCCAGTATCCTATAAGATCTAAGAGGCTTAGGTCTTCATTTACGTAAAGGGCCAGTGCGTCGTAACTATTTAAGTGTTTAAATTTAAAGTATATCAGTAGATAATCATTTTTAAAACTTTCCCTTACTTAAGGATTTAATAAACCTTCAAATATAAAAAATTAATATACATAATTGATTTTGATCAAATGCTTTATTTGATAATGCAAACAAAAATTTTAAAATTATTTTTGATAATGTTTATGTTCGTAATGTTGTATGCATTTTCCATGTACAGTTAATTTGTGTAAAGAAGGAATTATTAGAATATAATTTAATCATGAAATAAAATTATTTAGCTAAACATTAAAAAATATGTTTTGTTTTCTTATTTATAATCTTTGATTAAGAGTTTTCCACAATCATGTATGTTTTTAATCAACTATTCCTTTCGCAGTTAATGTAGCATCAGTAAACATGGTAAATACATATCCGAGAGTTGGAAAGACTCAAGAATTATTTCAGCATTATTTGTTTTTTTTTTTCTTTTCTGTTGTTGTGGAGAGCGCATAGACGAATGTTACATGCACTACACAACTGCACAATTAATGACCAATTGACCAATTGACCATTCTCCCCGGGCTTCTCTCTGACCCCTGCATGCTGCTTATTAAGTAAACAAATACGGTACATAATTGTGTATATAAAAAAGTGAATACATTATAATACTGTATGTGTGTTGAAAATGTACTTTATGAAGTGGCTGATCCAGAGAAAAATATTATGGGTAGGGCATACGTCAATGTATTCCTGTTTCGTTGTTTAGAAATGCTTTAACATACGACACTGGTACATTGAAATTTAAATCAAAATTATATTATGTAGTGTGCTCCCCTCTTTCTCCTTTATTTTCCCTTCTCTTTCTGTTGTGGGGGAGGGGGTCCCGATTCTTTCTCCCCCCCCCCCGGATCCACCTCTGCTTTATGTCCAGTATTTATTATCTACAAGCTTCTATGGATAAACACAATGATTTAAAAAATAAATGCATGTAAATAAAAATGGTTGAATGTAGAAACTTGACGGTGATTATTACGAGATCGTGCTAAGAGCTTTTAAGAGTTAATCATCGACAATGAGGATGGCTTTCAATTGAATCTTGTCCAGGCGAGATTTAACAAAAGATTAGAAGAAAGAGCGCCATTTGAAAAAGCAGTTCGAGTTTGGGACGGCGGATCTGATCAAACTTATACCAAATCGTGCCAACACTGGTTCCCAGTGATGCTCTTTGCGTTTCTCATTTACCTCTGTGATTAAATCAAACACCTACCTACAGAACATATATCTCCGAGTTCCAGCCTACCAGGCACCCATTTATACATCTTGGTGGAGAGAACCATATATTATAAGTTGCGTGAAATTTTGAGAGGATTTTCCTCCTGAACTCATTGTTTAATGGTTGAAAGCATGAAGCACAACCGCTGCGCCAACTGCTTTCGTAATTATAATAATTAACAATCATGAAATTTCCAACTATAATAAGAGATAGCTAAGCTGTAGTTTTTTAAAGTTGTATTTATTCATCACTCTTATCAATAATAAACCTTTCCGCTAAGCCCCGGCCCTTGGATATTGTTGCTTAGATTTCACAAAACAGCAGCGTGATAACGCGTGTTTGTGGGACATTCCTGGCCCTGATTGGTCCGATGTTAAATTTGATTGACATTCCGGAAAGGTTCCTTTACATTTCAAGAGAATACTAATTTTATCTAACCAAATATCTAAATTTTTCAGAACGGTATGTTGAAATTTTCGTTTAAAAATAATGACCTTTCTACTTTTCAATTACTGTACTCTCAGCGATCCTACCTGTATATAGGCAAAAAATTCAATACCTTGTGGTATGCCCATATTTCGATATACCATGAGATAGTCATGTTTATATTAGCATAATATGGGAACATCACACAAATTTGTCACATGATTGTGTGCACAGAGCTTATTATCCAAAGTAAACTAGGCCATTAGAATGGATAATGGTTTAGGATTATAAGTACACAACCTTTTTCATGACATACATTTAATGGTTACAAACACAATGAATGACATGATATCAATGACCTTTAATATTTGACATTTCAAGTACTTAAAAAATGTATGATTGTGAAAGATATGTAGCCTACTGTTGTAAAATCTTGAAAACCTTTAATACATCAACTGAATTATTATATTGGTATTGTGGTATTAAAGATGCGCAAAGTATATGTGTAATGGTTATATTACATAAATTAAACTAATTACTATGGATGAGTATTATAAGTATACAAAATACTCTTCATGACCAAATGGTGAAAAACACAGTTAATGACATGAATGCTCCCATGACTAATTACAAGATTGTTGTAAAACCTTAAAAAAACCTTTTAAAAAATCAAACAAATATTAAATTGCTTAGGCGAGACCTTTTTTTTTGTTTAGCGAAACTGCTGCCCACCAATAATGATGAAATAGCATAAAAATAAAATTTTATTTTTAACCCGCTGCCAAAAGAAAATTTATCTTTTTTTTTTTATTACGCCTGCCGCTGCCTTGAAATCTCCAAAAATATGATATATAATTTCTTCCTAATTATATGAATTTAAAACATTTAACCATTTTATTTTAATTTTCTCCTTTTTGGATGTTTTGTTGCAAAACTATTTGCTAAATAAGAAAACAAAATATTATTTTTATTTCTTTTTTTACCCTCCTCTGACGATCTTTAAAAAATAAATTCGCGAAACAAGATATAAAAAAGTCTCGCCTTATTTAAATAGAATCACCCAATTTATAGCTTTCAATTTTTGATGTAATTTAAAGTTATGAATAATGTTAAGTAATTTACTACTATCACATTACTAATTTTATTTACACTTCACAAATAAAACCTCAAGGTATAATAGGCCTCTTCACTGTGACTTCAAAAATACATTTCTATATATACAGTATATGAAATTGTTCATTGTAAATGAAGTTGATCGTAAAAGTTCCAATGAGACACAGATCGGAATATTCAGTGTTTGCATTTACTGATTTTTTTACTACAAACCCTGAATGCACTGTCAGCTAGGGTTTATGCAATGAGTATAGAAATGGTATGTGTCTGCTAATTGTCAAGAAAGTGTCAATTAGCAGTATAGGCCTAGAAAGTTATAATATATAATAGTTCGAAGTTACTGAACATGATACAGTACATATCTCAGTAGGCCCTATCGTCGAAAAAAGTGTGTATAAAAGTAGCTCTTAAAAAGTTCAGTGTCTTGGCAGCGGACAGTTAGTGAATAGTATCAAAAACAGTTCCCTTTTATCTCAGTGCTCTATAATAGTATCATTCCAGCATTTATGAATCAAAGGAAATCTTAATTTACTTCAAATTATTATTACTATATCAATTCAATTGTATGTAGGCCTATACAAATTATATATACATATGTGGTCATATTGGTTCACGTGTGTTCAAATAGTAAACAGAATAATGATGCGAAGACGCTGAGTTAGACAATTTATTCATGAATATTTTTAGACTAAATCGATAATATGACCCTCTTATTTGCACAATGTTTTCCATCAACACAAATTACTATAAAATCTATATTTTTCATTATGCACATTTTATGAACTCAGATTTTTTTTTATGGTAATGCTATTTTACTGACATATTCTCCTGACTGCTTAAACTTGTGGATTTCATTTGGTCAAACTTTCAGTGCAAAGAAGAGACTAACAACTTCAGACATTTTTACATCAGTTCTTGAATGAAACGTCTTCTACATCTGTCAAATTAAATCAAAGCTTATTAGATGGTCCAGAATATTAGAATAACAGTACAGAATAGACTACACAGAAATATAAATAATAATTAGAAAAACAGTCATAAAATGGAATAGATTAACTTGTTTGAATAGAATCCTTTTTTGCTCAAAATCTCAATATCTGTACTGCATAACAAAAGAAATTTACTTTATTAAAAAACTAATATAATACCCCAAAGTAAACCAGAAAATAGAAAGCAACGATAACACAAAAATGTAGAAAATGTTGCTCATTT